CAATCAAAGTTACCTCCTTTGTGAAAAGCCCAACTAAGAACATAAAAGAGTGAATGGCCTACTTCTAAGGAAGAACTCACTGTGTGTGAATGGTGATTTCTTACCACAGGAAGATGTCCACCAGAAACTGCCCCAGCAACACAATCGACTAACCGGAAGAAGGAGTTCAAAATCTTCTAGAGACTCGTCGACCCAAACGACAATTGTGCCACCAAAAGAATATGTCGCAATCTGCTGATTAGTCCCATGATCCAGCAGATGAGGCCGAGTGTCGTCGACAACAAAAATTCAGATCAATTTCAAGCAATTGATTCATACATATCTCATCTTCGGGTTGAGCCAATAAACCAGAAAGCCACCAATTCAAAAGAGAATTTATATCTATATACTGCAATTGTAATTCAATTGCAAGGTAGCAATTGGAGGTCCACCTGAATTGGAATCAACATCGGCCAGGATAGTGGTAGGGTGAAGAAATTTCAATTAGGAGGCTACAGATATCAACGAGCAGGGGATCAACGCTCTGATACCATGACAGATTGTAAGGAATTTCAATTATTTTTCATTGTTTTTAATATATTGTGTACAAAGATAGAAGGCTATATATAGCCTAGAAAATGAGACTATATTGGGACTACACGTAAATTAAGCCTAAATTGATCATTGACCCTCTAACACAGTCACTATTTACTCCTACAATCTTTCCAATATACAGCTCACGCCAACATTCGATTGCTGTTTTTTCTTTTGAAAATATTTTTCAACTTTTGGAAATTAAAATTGACCATTTCCTTCCATTGAAGAAAGAGAAAAATAGAATCTATCAGACCAGATGGATAAATGATCAAATTGCCAACCTTCATTTTAGAGAACAGTTTTTTGTCTTCCTCAAAGTAAGGAAAATATTTTCTTTTCTATGTGATAATTTTCATGCTAATCAATCACACTCTAAGTTGTTTTTATTATTATTAGTGTCTACAACAACTCAAATTTTAGACTATGCAACTTATCGACGGATGGAGACTCATTATAGCACAATATCCTGAAATGAAATTGTTCATCATAAACTGCTGCAACTTCGTTGTACAATAACTCTTGGGATGCAACGATTGAATCCTTTGTGTAGTAGTCACAATCAATTTTCCATATACTTAGTAGTACTCTAGAACAATATCTCAAAATAATAGAAAAATCTAAAAAAGCGTGTTTCTTTAAAAATTACAGAACTTGAAAAATAAATTCAGTGTATATTTTTTCAAGACAAGGGGTTTACATAGTCCAATAACTATAACATCATTTCACAATTCAGTATAATTAAGAGTGCAATTTTTATGGGGTTTTTATGATTTGAATAAATAATTTAAATCAGTAACTCCCCAACTGCTATATTTTACTTCCACGGCTCAACCATAAGCTTCTTAATATTCGCATGGAATGTATTGGAACCGTCGACCCCCCACATAAATTTTTCACTTTTCATATATATATATATATGTGTGTGTGTGTGTGTGTGTGTGTGTGTGTGTCACTATAATAAATAAATGAGAAAATAAAGAAATTTAGAATAAAAAAGTCATCAAATTGAACATAAAAAAATAATAAGAAGAAAGTCTATCCACATGTACACCATCAATTGTTTGTATATGGGGTATTCTTTTGCTTTTAAAAAAGTCATAAGTCGTTCCACATTAGTTTCCATTTAAAAAAAAAAAGGCACTGAGGAACAATTTATAATCAGGGATAGGCCATTGGTGGATTTTGCCCCATTTGGGCCTTAATAGTTTAAAACATGGGCCTAAATATTAGGCTAATTTTATAATTAATTTTATCGTTCTAATTTTTACAATTTTTAATTGGATTATTAGATTGGATATGATAGTATAACAAATCGGATATGGATTTAACAATCAAATATCCATTGAATTATCGGAACAAAGCAATGAATTATTCTTATCGAATCAAATATGGGCAGATCTAATGTGGTCACTCATTTATGTGCTTCAACGATGCATTTTATTATTAAAAGAGTGAATATGTCTCTTATGGTGTTATGTAGCAGGCTAAAGATATTGAATTAGAATAATGGTATACAATTCATTTGACAGGATATATGTAGTATGTATAGTGTACACACAATAAAACTGTCTAAATATGGCCAACACCCTAGAACAGTGCTAGTGTACAAATATAAAAGATTACATACATATTTTGTGCAATATTATTTGTTTCCTTCTATATGCTCCCTCAAGATGAAGCTCCTTATGGAGACTAATCTTGTCCATGAGTCGGGAGAAGTGTGTGCACGGAAGGAGGCATTCATCCAGGAGCATCCACTGGTCGAGCGTCGGAGGAGATGTGCCACTGCCACCCATAGCATTCCATTTTGATTGGTCCCCAAACGTAGTGAAAATCTATTGCAACATATCTTTATTTCTTTATGGCTTATTGATTGCTTTCAGTGGAATATAATTAGGATTTTTAATTCTCAACAAAGATGAATGGCATCAATATTGTCACAATATATCACTAGTGATTTGAGGAGCATGAACCACAAGTTCGGTAAGTAAAGAAAAGAATCGACAAAATTTAGCCGCAATGATGTTCATAGAGGGACATGAAGCGACATTGCTACAGTATATTTTGTTATTTAAGATGACATTTTATTTTTAAAAAAGTATTTTCAAATTACCAAATTATACAAGTTGTGGGTATTTTATAAAACTCAAAATAGTTTGATGACGTCCCCTTTTGTATTTGTTTAGGTTGTTCTTACCCAGTACTATTAGATGTATCTCACATGGGCCGTCTTGAGTTGATCCATATAGGTTACATCTAAATCTGAATTTGAATGCCAGATCCAGCCCATTTGGAAGATATTTGATTTGGATCAGTCTCTCTAAATTACACTCCCTTCCCCTAGGGTTTGCTTGTCCCTGTTCTTTTCCAGCTCTCTATAAGTTAGACACATTGGAGTTTTAGGTCTTCGACGAGTTCTCGTCCTTCCGCGGTATGGCTCATCTCTACTCTATCACGCAGCCGGTAGACGAACAGGCAAGTTCTTCGTGTAATTTGTGTATTTTGCTTATATTGGAGATGATGAAAGGAGTAAAATGTGATGGTTAATCCCATCTGATCAATTCTAATCCTTTTTGCTGCGTTCTTTCTGATTCAAATCTCCCTTTTCTTCGAATCTTAATTAACTATTTTACTTAATTCTTTTTCCAATTAATATTTTTTGTTTTTTAACACATATATACAATAAATATTTTGAATTTTTCATTTTGTGTATCATCAAGATGATGAAATCAGAAAATCTTAGGACACCTTCTGACACAGTCTGACAATGCTGTGTATGAGAACAACATTTTATTTCTGATTATTGATGATGCTCTTTCTTAATTTCTTACCGTTAATTCATTTTTCTAAAAATTTAAATTATTTGTGGATTTCTTTTCTTTTTTTTTTTTTTTTTTTTTTTTACATTTTTTTAAATTTTTTCAAAAAAAAATT